ACCTCTTTTGCTTTCTGTCCTTATGAATTTGCCTATTCTAGGTACCTCCTCTGAGTGGACTCATATAACATTTGTTGTTCTGCTTCTGGATTCTTTTACTAAGCATACTGTTTTCAAAGTCCATCCATATTGTAGCATGTATCAGACTCCCATCCCTTTTTTATGGTTGAGTAATATTCCACTGTGCATGTATGCCATATTTTGTTTATCCATTCATCTGTTGATGGACAAATGGGTTGTTTTCACCTTTTGGTCATTATGAATAATGCTGCTATAGACATTAGTACACAAACATCTGTTCCAGAGCTTTCAGTTATTTTGGATATGTATTTAAGGGTGGAATTCTGGGTCATATGGTAGTTTTATGTTTTAAAAAGTAGGTTCTTCCCCACCCCTAGTTTTAACTTTTGTAGCAACACCAAGCAAAGCCAACTTCTCTTTATCTGAATATGCTTTAAGCATTTGAAAACGGCTATTTTTGTCCTTCCTATCTTTTCTTTTGTCTAAGCTAAAAGTGATATAACTTTTTTGGGGAGGGAACCCAAAATTTAAGATCTTATATCAACCTGTTACACTTCACTTTATTACTTTCATCAGTTAGTTAATTCTATAGAGCTATACAAATATTTTTTCTGGGATCTAGTTCATTAGACACCTCTCCCAAGTTTGTCTTCCTCCCTTTGAAATGCACTGAGTAAACACTTAAGAGTTATAAAAGCAGAAGCCACCTTTATTTTCCAGTTCATGAATAATCCAAGAAAAAGGATGGTGAAGATAAAATTATTCAACCTATTTTCTCATGTGGACCCATTAGAAGTATTTAAATTTCATGTTGTTATTTTTTAGAAAAAAGAAGTATTTTTGAGATTGTTAGTTGACCCGAATATCCTGTCATACTGTAGAACATCCTTGCACAAAGTAGAGGTTCAGTAAAGACTTGTTATAAGAATGGAAACACTAGCCTTTCTCCTTCAGATGTTTGTTTTGGGATCAGATCTCTCAATTTTAGACACTAGTGATTATTGTAGGACGTTCTTATGCGCAAAGCTTTGGTATCAGTTGTTTCCATTACTGGGATTCTGCTGAAAGTAAATGTAGGTTATGTTTGTATCCAGTTTACTTTAATAGTTAATGAAGAAAAGGTGATATTCTAGGTATGTTTATAAATTGCTTAGCCATTCAAGCTCAGATAAGAATATTCACATAAAATATTTATATGCCCCTAAACCCTAAAATGAAAAATCCTTTTCTTAAATATCCTGCTAGGCCCTTCCTTCAAAGCAGCTGTCTGATAATTTTGGCATTTGCCTGGGTGACTCAATAATCTTACAGAATGCCTAGGCACTGGGGCGAGAGTTTAATTAAAGGGTAGAGCTCCTGGCTGATGCTTCCTGTACATGTATTGAAGAGGAACATTTTCTTTGGGAAATTAAATTTATGGGAAAATTTCTTATTGATTTTTTTTTTTTTTTTTTTTAAACT